TATTCATCATCGGTAGACAGAGTAAGCATAGTTACAACAGGTGAGTCAACAAGGGGGTTACTGAAGGTCACCTCGGGCCCTCCAGGTTTAAAATTTATACTAGCTCCCAGTTTAGTGAGTAAATCTCTTCCTAGTAGTGGGGCAGGGCACTCTGGGATGACCAGGAAGGAGTGTTGTACAGTCCCTCGTCCTAAGTCCATGGTTCTCTTGGTGGTCCGGGAGCTGTGTTGACAGCTGTTTGCCCCTTGAACCAAAGATTTACAGCTCGAAAGGGGTCCCAAGGGGGCCTGCAAGGCTGAATAGATGGCCCCCGTGTCCACCTCAAAATCAATGGGAGTCCCCTCCACACTAAAGGTTATCCTGAGTTCGGAGAGGGGATCCGAACTCCGACGGCCCTAATTATCTAAAGCAAGGAGATCCACAGTCTTTTTCTTTATCTTTGGACAATCTTTAGCCCAATGTCCATCTTCTTTGCAATAGGCACATTGGTTAGGACCTAGTCTCTGGCGTGGGCCCAGGAGTTTGCCTCTTCCTGCTCTATCTTGTCTTCTAACAAAGTGGTTAGTATTTTTGCCAATTCCCTATTTCTATGTCTGTCCCTCAGACTTTCTTTTTCCTCTCGTTCTTTCTTTAATCTCTGCTCCCTTTCTTCCGCAGTCTCTCTTTTGTAGAACACTTTCTCAGCCTCCTTAACTAAGTCCCTAAGGGCCATGTCTTGCAATCCATCCATCCGCTGGAGCTTCCTCCGGATGTCAGTGGCCAACTGACCTATGAAAGCCATTGCCAAAGCCCCCCTATGCTCATCAGACTCAGGATCAAAAGGGGGTATATCGCCTATAGGCTTCCATTAGTCGTTCTAAAAATCTGGATGGGGATTCCTTGGGTCACCTCTCTTACCTTAGCCAAACTGGTAGGGTGGCGTACCGCCACACGGAGACCTGCCATCAGAGTCTGGCGATAAAGCAAGAGTCGCTGCCTACCTGCAGGCGTATTAGGGTCCCAGTTAGGTCGTCACAAGGGGAAAGTCTCATCTATAAGGTTTGGTAGCTGAGTGGGTCGTCCATCAGGGCCAGGGACCAGTTTTCTGGATTCAAGAAGAATGCGATCCCTTTCCTCAGAAGTGAAAAGGACAGAGAGGAGTTGCTGACAATCATCCCAGGTAGGCTGATGAGAGAACATAAGGGACTCAAGAAGATCGGTTAGTCTGGTAGGGTCTTCTGAGAAGGGTGGGTTATTTCCCTTCCAGTTAAAAGGTCAGAGGAAGAGAAGGGCCAGTATTGCAGCGCCGGCATGTCCCCCCCTTGACCGTCAGGAACGGGAGGTCCCATGGGCCGAAGAGGCAGGGTAACGGCTACATCATCTGGGGGCTGTGCCCTCCAGCTCCGAGTCCCATGTGCCGGGCCCTCTTCCTGTGGGGGTCCTTGTGCGATCAGTGGAGTGACCGGGACCGGGTCACAGTCGTTAGCAGCAGCAGAAACGTCCCTAGGGTATGGGGGTGGGGGACCAGAATCGAGGAGAAGGAGATCAGCTTGAGACTCAGGGAGGATGGAAGAGGCGGAGGGTAGAGAGATGAAGGAGGTGCCGTTGGCTCTGGTGACTTCAGGGGAAGAACAGAGCAGGTATCTGGAACAGAAGAACTAGGACGGCTCGTGGTGGCCGAGGAAACTGCCGAGGAAACTGCCAAGAGGGCAGCAGCAGGTGGAGGAAGAAAGGGTCGGACCCAGGAAGGAGGGTCAGTAGCCAAATCTTCCCAAACCCAGATGTAAGGTTGTTGGTCTGGGTGGCCATGGGGTCCTGGGCTGAATATGATGGCCTTTACTGCCTTGATGGTGTCCTTATGGAAAGTCCCAGGGGCTGGCCACCCAACGCTGAGAGTAGGCCATTCAGATGTGCAGAGAGTCTGCCACTTGCGTTTCTTGATGACTAAAGACAAATTATGAGCGCGGTCATTTACTTCAGACCAGTGTGATAGGGTTAAAGACAACAGGGTGGAGAGCCCTTGTCCCATTTTATAAACAAAAAAACACACAAAGAAGGCGACAAACAGGACGGTGGCAGAGACAAACAAACAAAGCCGGCTACGCCGTGAACAGCAAAAAGAAAATAAAATCCAATCTAATGGTCCCTACCTACGAGCTCAAATGGAAACTGGCAACAAATTCACAGAATCTGTCTGAGACAGCAAATGGACAGCCAAGCGTCCTTGGTCGTCCGCACACTCCAGGGCGTCCCCTGAAGACGTGGCCTGCGACCCCCTGACATGTCTGTCGGTCGCAGTCAGGAGAGACTCACGTCCCAGTCTGACAACCACCACCACCAGTTTCACTCACCCAGTCAGTCGGTTCAAGCGAAGGCAGCGATCTCGGTGGGACCTCCAAATGAAAAGAGTTAGAACCGACGACAGACCGACAAAGACTCAAAAACTCAGAACTGCAGAAAAATGAAAAGAATTTAATACACTTCGCGAGCGGGCTCGAGGCGAGAGGGAGGCCAAAAGCCCCGAGCTACTTCAGTGAGCAGTTTTTAAACAGTATTTTAGGGAAGGGAGG